TAAATTTCGCGACGCATCGTTTAACTTTATTCGATTCCACGAGGAAAAGTGAAACGGTGCTCGTATATAGGTCGATGCGCGAACACGAGTAACGCGCTGTTCACATGTTCGACCAGGTAACGCGTGACTGGTGTCCCACGGGAAAACGCTATCTCTGTTTACGTACGTAACGACCAAGCAACCATGCACGACGTGTCTCTTGCTATGAAACCAGATTATTTACGGTAGATACAGCCGGGAAGGAGGTAACGGGAGGGAACAGAGGTCACAAAGAAAACAACATACGCGGGAAAAAAGGCGTAGGTGAGCGTTAAAAAGGAGGAAAGGAAGGCAGGAAGGATGCCAGGATGGATGGTACGGGTGAGAGGAAATGGGCGGTATCGATTAATCAGAGAAATACAATCGATACTGCAATCTCGATCTTTTCTCCGTTCCGCGAAACTTTTGTCAGGATCGACAAAAGAATTGATCACCGCTTCGTTTATTCCTGGCTCGTTCTCAACCACCAATTCCCTTACGCGTGTGGAAAACGGGAAATGCGCGCGCAACGGAAAAAGGGAAGGCATATTTTAAATACCGTATGGTGCACGATACGCTGTCACTTTCTTTTTATTTTCTTGCAACCTTGGTATTTCCGTTAGAGAAAAATGATAGACGGCGATGGAGACACGGGAAAATTGGTAATGCGCTAATTCACTCGAACGAATGTTTCTCTTTCAAAGGTGGCTTGGCATGGAGCAAAGGGACGTAATTTTAACAGCAGTTTTCGGAACGATCGGAGCTCTGGTGATACTGGTGGTTTTCGGTGTGGCTGCCTGGCTTTACCTTCGAGCGATGAAGTCCAAGCAACGGGACAACGATCTCGAACAGCAAAACGAACATGGGGAAAATTTTAGCGATAATCGACATGGACGATCGACGAAGAAAAACGGTCTTTTAAGTCTCAAGACTCCTTTAATTAGTACGAAATCTTTTGGGTAAGCGCTAACGTCGATTTCATTTTATGTCCTACTTCTTCTATCGAGCACGACCATTCATTTCTTGAACTTTTCCTTGGATTTTTTCTTGGAGAAAAAGGCAAACATCTCGATGCGAAATTTTAGACTTTAAGCGAAAGCAACGAAGATGTTAGGAGTATTGTGGACGACAGAGCGCGCGCGACAGAGAAAGAGAGGGAGGAAGAAGGTGATCCGTTGATAAAACAGATTTATCGCCTGTTGTTTATTACCGACCGAGGAAAGTAGTTTGACCAATGAACCGTCGAATATAGTCGATCTTACCGACAATTGAAAATTTCGTGCTCCCTCGAGTCGTTTGGCTACACGGATTCGACTAACCGAACGATCGATGGATTTTTCTCGGCCTATCGCAATAATATACCGACGTGTACATTTCTGCACTCGATTCTCCGTCCTAGTAAAAATAAGAAACTTGGAAAAAAGGTAGGAAATGACAGCGAGACAAAGGAACAACTAAGTTATAGGTAATGTTGCGCGCGTAGTTTTTCTTCGATCTCATTCGAGCTCGTCTCTTCGAATCGGCGTATCTACGAAAAAAGATACTCGATGATCATTCGTGGTATCCAAGGTGGTATTTTCGAGGCGTAAATGTCATTTTTCTAAATAAATTTGATATACCAATTGGAATCGTATGCTGGCCGGTATCGCTCGTTCGTTTGAATCGTAGAAAAAGCAAAAGACAAGAAACGAAAAACGGCAAAGAAAAATAGAAAATACGAAATATACAAAATGAAGCATCGTGAACGAACGTGGAGCGAATTTCAAAGGATAATCGTTCGCCTCGATCAGTCGCTGGAGTCGCGTATTCGTTTGCTATTATCGCTAAGAACAATGATCGAGTACTCGAAACTCGTGAACTTGATCGATCGAGAAAGTCGGAAAAAATCGCCAACGACGAGAAACTGAAGAGGTAGTGCGCTATAAATTCCGTAATTCCCGACAAGGTGCCAATTGGAAACCTGCCAAGTAGTCTGGTGTTTCGCAGCACTTAAATCGGCGAAATGCAACAGATATGCCACTTGTTACGTTACATACTACATAACTACTGTCTTGCGTTAGAACTTGTATAGCAGTTACGATCCGTTATGATTTTTATTCCCTTGGACGAGTCTTCACGATCTCTTGATCCTCGTTAGAAACTTTCATCGAGTAGAGAACTTTGCCCGTTACTTATTGCCGCTTTTCTTCATATGAAACGAACAAAGAAGAATGTAAAGTTCACCTTGGCCCAGTATCGCTGGTGATTAAACGCGTTTGACGGACACACTTCGAAACAACGTATAATTAATTTACAGCTCGACATGGCAGCGTTGTAACGCAACGATAGGAAACTACTCTCCCAGGGCAACTACCCTAAATAAACGACTCATCTATGTAGTGTTGAGCACGCTATCCCTAGAATTCGAATATCTTTACCCGTTTTGAAAATAGCGCGTTGATATTCGTACATAAGTCGACTGCGTGATCGTAAAGAAATTCTAATTATCTGATTACTAATTTTATCTGAATCGGGAGAAAAATGAGAAAATGAGAAAATGAGAAAATGAAAGGAGATCGAAACGAGTAATGGTAACGGTTGATTGCGGTTTATCGATATAACGCGAATAACGTGACGGAACGGATGTCGTGTTTAGGAAGAGGAGCCAAGAGGGTGAAAGATGAAAGATGAGAGCGGAAAATAAAGTGAAAGCTGGGCAAGGATCGGGGGTGAAAGAGGTAGAAACGAATGTCAAAATGTGACGCGGCGAAATGACAAGGCGAGACGAGTAGAAAGAGTGGATGAAAGAAGAATAACGAACAAGCTCGAAATGGCGAAGGAGGGAAAGAAGCGCGGACGACAGTGACGATTTGGTCGGGGTATGGAGAAGCTAGCGGTATAACAAAGGCACACGTCGGCCGATGTAGGATCGGTTGTCGGTAAAGGGTGGTAGTAGGTAGGAGAAGCGGAACGGTAGGCGAAAGGGTAGGCGAAACGGTAGGCCAGTAGGATAGCGAGGAAGGATAGCGAGGTAGGAGCAGAGTCAAGAGATACGCCGAGGAAGGAAGCAGTGCGAGGGAGAGAATGGAAAGCGGAGAGTTTGGGAGAGTATAGTTGATCCTGGCAAGGGTGGGAGGAGAAGTTAAGGTCCAGGAATAGTCTAGTCGAAAGGTGGGGTGCGGGGAAAGATCGGCGTGGAACACGGGGTGGTAGAAACGGTTGGAACGAGGGCAGTGGTAGGAGAAGGAGGTGCCACGGAGAGGAGTGAAGCGGGACGAGGAGGAGAGAAAGGAAGGACAAAGTGGGGGTTGGTCATAGGGGTAACGGTAGGATTCTGGGGGTTGAAAGCAGCTGAGAGCAGTGTACGAGTAGGTCATACCACAGAGGAGAGAGGTAGTTCGCGTTTAGCAAACGGCTCGTACGTTCAGTTGGACGAAACGTATAATAGTCGTTCGACCAGTTCTTTACATTTTTCATTCGTATCTTCCTCCAAGAATATCTCGTCACTGATATCGATTGTTAATTTTTCCTTGCTGGTGTTACCGTCGTTGTTGTTGTCGTCGTCGTCGTCGTTGACATCGCCGTCGTCGTTGTCCTCGTCATCGTCCTCGTCGCCGTCGTCGTCGTCGTCGTCGTCGTCGTCGTCGTCGTCGTCGTCGTCGTCGTTGTTGTCGTTGTCGTCCTCGTCCTCGTTATCGTTGTCGTTGTCGTTGTCGTTGTCGTCGTCGTCGTCCTTCGTTTCGTCCTCATCAACGTCCTCGTCCTTGTTTTCGTCGTCCTTGTCCTTGTTCTCCTGGAGGACATAGTCTAGGATCAAGAGAAATGGATGCTCATTTGGAAGAGCAATGGCTGGACATTTTTATCGTATCACGAAGAAATGACATTGACCCAATCGACTGAAAGTACGAGTCATGGTGCGTTAATCGTCATTGGTTTCTGAAACGATCCGAGATACTCGGAACAGTTTAAATCGCCGTTTCGAAAAATCCGCTTCTTTTCCTCGGAGTAAGTAAGTAGTCACGAGTCGGTTAACTCTTTCGATTATCTTCTTCTCTTCGTTGTTGACCAACATCGCAAATAATCTTTTCTTCTTTTCGTTCTTGTCCATTTTCTTCCCTTTTCTATATCCTCCTGTTGAATTGGCAAAGAAGGAGAAGAGCATATATCACGATTTTCGTTAAATCGATCATCGACCGAACTGGTTGAACTTGCTTGGACCCTTGGATCGGATCGTACCAAGACCGAAAAACGGTTGTCGGATCACGAACTGTATCGAGGAACAGGAAATCGAACGAGCAGCGAGGTTTAATCGGTGATGTTGCAGACCTTTCGCGTTAACCAGTGGAATACGAACAATTAATTTTATATGCAAAGGTATCTTGGCCACGGAAGATAGGACAAAGAACGTTACTAAAGAAGAGGAAAGCAACATAGAGAAGAAGAAACGAAAAAAAGAAGGGAAATGTAAAAGAAAGGAAAAAAGTGAAGAAGAATCAAAGGGAAGGAAAAAGAAGAAGCAGAAAAACGAGTGAAGTGGGAAATTAAGAAGAGGAAAGCGGAGAAAGTTATAAAAGTTACGAGTGTCGAAGGAGAAGTCGCTACTTTCGTTTCTTCTTACGAGACACCGAGTCGTACTTGTTACCACTTTACAACGCGTCGCAAAGTCGTCGAATCGCGTCAAGTTAATCGTTGATCCTTGATCGTTGTTGTACTTTTATCAATCTCGTCGTTGCGATCGTTTGTTAATCTGAAATCGGTTCGATATTATCTTTTTAACGGATCGATTTTTCATATTTAAGGATATTTATAAGCATAACGATATTCCGATAGATCTTTAAAGACACATCATCCCAGGACGGGGATAGTTTCGAGACATAGTTTCGAGACGTACCGTGGGTCATTCGCTCGTTCCAAGGCCACGTTGCGCGTTTCCATTACACGTATATTACCGTTTCTTCCCGAATTTCTTCCCTAC